GTGTCCACACTTATGTCTATGAGTTTATTTGTTTTGTTTGTTCATTTGTTGCTTTCTATTTTAGATCCCCTATAAGTGAAATCATATAGTTCTTGTCGTTTTCTGTCTGACTTATTTCACTTAGCATGATACTCTCAAGGTATATCCATGTTGTTGCAAATGGACATTTTCGTTATTTTTATGGCTGAATAGTAGTCCATTGTGTATATGAACCATATCTTCTTTTTCCAGTCATCCATTGAAGGACACTTAGGTTGTTTCCATGTCTTGGATATTGTGAACAATGCTACAATGAACATAAGGTACATATATTTTTATAAATAAGTATTTCCAATGTTTTTAGGTAGATATCAGAAGAGGGATTAGATTGCTGGGTCATATGGTAGCTCTAGTCTTAATTTTTTGAGGAAACTTCATCCTGTTTCCCATAGAGGCTGCTCCAATTTATATTCCCACCAGCAGTGTGTGAGGGTCCCTTTTTTCCGCATCCTCTCCAACACTTATTATTTCCTGTTTTTTTCTTAACTGCCATTCTAACAGGTGTGAGGTGGTATCTCATTGTAGTTTTGACTTGCGTTTACCTTATAGCGGGTGCAGCTGAACATCTTTTCATATACCTGTTGGTGACCTGTCACACATGATTCTTAAAGGAGTACAATTAGCTAATGTAATTGCACACAAAAATGTTGTAAAAGGCCAAAGCAAAACAACTTTATGGCAGAATGCTTTTAGCCATGGTCGCTGGAGCATGAAGTACACTGTTATTCATGATCCTTGTCTAATCCTACTCGAGCCCTCTCCTCCCTCCCTCCCCCTGCATTGAAAGACCAGCATAAAACCAAAATGCAAAATCCAAAAAATCCAAGACTGCTTACCTCCTCCAAAGTGCTACCAAACTTCTTTTGATGTGTTCTCCCTTTCTTCAGCAAGCAAGGGAAAAGTGCCTGGTGCTGATGGAACTCTTTGTAACCTCGAGTGAATATTCGGTACCTCCAGCTCTTTGACTGCTTTCATTCCTCCTCTGTCCCCTTTTGTTAGCTAATCTAGTTGAGGGGGAAATAAACCAGGTTGCCCCTTTGGAGGAGGGCTTCCTGTGCTCAGACCGGACAGTTGGCCTGTCTGCTTTTGGATGGGTTGGATCTGTTTCCAGAGGCTCTGCAGACCCTGGCATTTCTCCTGGTCATCTACCAGATATGGACAGCCCGTGACAAGGCCGCTCGCTCGGACTGCAGCAGTTGTGCCCAGGACCAGGAAGAACAGTCTCAGCGCAGGTCCTGGCTTACCCAGGTGTCTTTTCCTTTCTCTCTCCTCTGCATCTCCGCAGCATATTTGGAATATTTGCATTGCTGCATCCTTTCTGCACAGCCCCACGTCCCACCTGGATGCGACAAGGAGTGGCACTCTCCGCCAGTCGTCGTCTTCCGCCAGGTCCTCTCGTCTCTTGGCCTTTCCAGCAACCTCCCTGCCCTACTCTGATGCACGCAGAGGCAGACAGATGTAGTATCGGGTGGGTCAGGAGAGAGAAGTGGGATGGCACACAGGTGGACACAAATTAAGTTATAAGGACTAGGTCATGAAAAATACCAGCAGAATGACACGGAAATTCTGGAGTTGAAGGAAGGGATGGGGAACCAGAGGAGAGATCCCAAGAAAGGAGGAACATAAAGTCAACACTGTGGCAGGACAATCTCTGAATAAAAGAAACATTTCCAAGTGCCAGGTAGTGACTTACCTTTTCAGGGAAACTGTCTCTACAATAAAGTTTAAATGTAACAAAATGCCTGGGATTTCTTGAGATTGTGTTCGAGGCACCCAGGACCTCACTATTTCTCTCTGTATTCTTCCGGGCAGTGCAGTTTCTGGTTGTATCCCCCCAGAATCTAGCATAGTGCCTGACTGGCACATGGTAGGCACAAAATGTTTGTTTGCTGGATGGATGGGCAACCGATGGAAGGGGAGTAGAAGTAGGATATAAGAGAGTAAAGGTAGATATGAGATATATACCCTGAAGAAGTGAAAGCAGGACGTGAACAGGTGTTTGTGTCCCGTGTCCACAGCGGCCTTAGTCACAGTAGCCGAAAGATGTGAGCAGTCAGTCGAGGCAAGCGTCCGTGGCCAGACAGACGGATGAGCAAAATGTGGTATGTACATGCCATGGGATATTATTCAGCCTTAAAAGGAAGAAAATGGATGAAACTTGAAGGCATCGTGTTAGGTGAAATCAGCCAGCCACGAAAAGACAAATACTGTGTGACTCCTCCTGCACGAGGTTCCTAGAGCCGTCAGCCGCACAGAGAGAAAGTAGAGGGTGGTTGCCCGGGGCTGGGAGGGAGAGATGGGAGTTAGTGTGTGGTGGGTGCTGAGTCCAGATGGGCGGGAGGAAAACGTTCTGTGGGTGGATGGTGGTCATGGCTGCAGAGCAGGCGAATGTACTTAAGGCCACACAAGTCTACGTGTAAAGGGTTAAAACTGTACATTTTAGCTTATGTAGTTTAGGAAAATAAAATAATAGAAAAATGCAGTTATGATCCTCAACTAATTCATAAATATAGATCAACAAAAGAAAAGGTGTTTTTATAACAAGTTAAGCAGGTAATACTCAGGAAGGTTATAGAGAGGGGCCAGTGCCACCAGACTTACGAAGGTGTGTAACACCGTGCTACTGGGAACAGGTATCAGTCCCGACACAAGGCAGGGACGTTCAAGGGCTTTTAGTCCTGCTCACTCCCAGGTACCCCATACATGCCCTCTTTTAAAAAAAACAACAAAGAAACAAAACTTTTTTAAGAAACAATTTTAAACCTACAGAAAAGTTGTAAGAATAGCACAGTGGGCAGCCATCTGATTCCCCCTTGACTGAGAATGCTGAAGGCTTGGATGGGGCTTCTGTGCCATCCTGCCGGGGGGAGACCCCCGCTGCTGCCTCTGGGAGGTGGTGTCTGGGTGTAGGCCCTGGGGCGGAAGATTGAGGATGAAGTCCAGTCCCCATTAGCATGATGCTCTGGCTGTTGCTTGTTTACATGCTCTCCGCCCCTTATCATCATGCAGCCCGTGCGCCAGTCTGCTCTTCCTGCCAGGATGTGCCCATGCATGAGCTCTGTCGTCACAGTGTCCATGAGAGTCCGCGCCCTGGGCCCTCTTCCATCAATGGAGGCAGAGGGCTAACTTGATCGGTGACAGCTCATTAGGGCTGTCAGGTCTTAAATTCAGAATCCTCAGCTTTAAATTCCAAACCCATTATGTTGTACACAACGGCGGAGCAGGAGGGTAAGATGAGGGAGCGAGTGTGTGGCAGGGAGGAGAGGAATGGGGTCAGGCCGGTAGGGGAGGATCGAGAGAGTGACTCAGAACTGCTCAATGTGGGTCGCCCTACAGGCACTATCTTTTTCTTGATATGTAACAAGCTTGTTACAACAAGCTCTTCAGAAGGCTGCTCACCTGTAAGGTGACTTTCAGAAGTTCGGTGGCCTACCCCCTGCAGAACCAAACAAAAGGAGCTTTGCTGTACCTGAACGGTGCTCTCCCTGAGGCTTGGAGAGCAAGCTGCACAGTTCATGCGAACATTGGAGTTAATTTAGTAAATCTTGGAGTCTGCTTCCCTTCAGATGTTTACCTAAAGCCTCCGTCTGCCTCTACACACAGATGGATGAGACGTTCAGCGTTATCTGAGACACATAATTTTTCACTTGGCTATGTACAGGATTTTACTGTTGTATAAGTAGACACTTTAGCCTGGTTTAAATTTAAGCTTAATATTGTGTGTGTGTGTGTGTGTGTGTGTGTGTGTGTGTGTGTGGCATTATCCTTTCCATGTGGTCATCTTTCAAAGTACATCTTTGCAACGTTGCTTAAACGTATAAGGTGTGCTGTGTTTCTCCTATGACAAGGATGCAGAGTGGGCATTTGCTGCTGCTGGTTCAGTAGTTTGAGGGTTTGGGGGCTGAGGTCTCTCATATGCTCGCTCTTGGCCTGTTCTTCATGGTCCCGAGATGGCTGCTCCAGTGCCAGCCATCATGTCGGAGTTCCCGGCAGAAGAGGGGATGAAGGGGGAAAGATAACAAAATGGCATACTTCCCCCGAAATCAGGTTCCTTCAGAGCACTCTCCCAGATGATGGCATTATGTTTCATCGACTGACCCTCTATAGCGGAGGCTGGGGAAAGGCGTTTACAGGATCATGCTTCTGCTGCCAACAGTACAGGGGTTCTCTTATCAAAGAGGAAAGGAAGGATGGATGCTGGAAGGTAGCTGGCATCTCCACCACAGCCACAGATAAAAGCGTTAGCGACCAGGTCTGCTTCTGAACTTCATCTCACTGCTGTCTGTCCATCCCAGCACAGTACCACGCTGTGCCGATGAGTGTGACATTATAATCCGTGTGAAAATAAGTCTGGTTTTTTCTTTTGTGTTCTATAAAGTCGGTATATGTTTGCTTAGACGTACAGTTTTAAACTAAACAATCTTTTCACTTTTTTATTATGTTAACCTACAATAAAACCTGCATGTTGAGAAAACACACAAAAGAGCTCTTCTGGTTATTTAAAACGGAGTGTGTCTAATCCACTCACAGGGTGTGTGGCCTGGCCTGCAGCCATCTCTCCGCGCTCCACAGCTGTGTTTCCCTCGCCGTCTCTCATGATGTAGTCACAGGCATTAGAGAGTCTACTTCACGTGCCTGTGGAGAAGTCAGAGTTTCTGTTCCTCTTCAGTTCTACATAACCTTCGAGGAATTAATTTGGGCAGCATAAAATATGGAATTAGCCATCAAATACAAAAGTGCTTCCAGAAATTAGAGAGGGAAAAAATCACACCATGGAGACCTTGGGTGGGGAAAGATTGTTTTTGTTTTTTTCCCATTTTGCATACATACATTAAAAAAAAATAGACTTCAATGTTTCTCAGTTTTTTTTTCTTTATAGAAAAAGAAGCCAAGTTTTTCTCAACCTACATTTTAAACTTAAAACATAAAATGTATTTATTTCACTTCTATATTATATCCAGGCAAGTGTGAAAGGCACCGAAGAGAAGGAAGACCTGAGGAAGGAATCTAACCATGCTGTTTATAAAGCGGGAGAGCTGAAGGTCAGTACATTCATTAACCCCCTTTTTTGTATCTTAAAAGAAGGAAACATTTTATTTAAACCATTTCCATCTGAGCTAAAATTTGAGGGCATACGTGTTTTTGAAACCCACCCTTCCTTTTTCTTTCCTGTAGGAAAAAACTCTTAATGTTTTACACATGAAAAGGGTCACATATTGTTACAAAATGAACATTTTTTATTCAGTAGTATCATCTCTGGCCCTTTAGACTTTCTGCTAAATGCTCCTTAGCCATGTAACTTTGTCCAACAATATACGCAGTCAGCTTTTGATGTCTGCCTTGTGGACCAGATGCAACGAAGCCCAGAATCCAGTTGGTTCTCTCCTAATTGTGTGACCGTAGAAAGCGGGCTGAATTCTGCACTTGTTTGCTCCTTGCTACAGCCCCTATTTCTGATGACCTTGAGGGACCACCATGTGGTAAATGCATCCTGATGTGGATTGCTCATTTCAAACATGACCTTGCATGGCCCCAAAAGCCTCCCCAAACCTAAGAGGCTCCAGTGAAGTTACTAGTTGGAAGAATTATAATCTAAAAAGGTGATGGACAGACTGATGCTCATGCCCAGCATTTTCATACCAACCTCTATTCTCAGTCTTGCAGGTAAGGTAGGCCTTTGTTTAAGGAAGGTGGTGACCATAGGCTTTGGACTGGTAAGCTGGAGCGCACTGTATGTAGAGGAAGCTGTCATCTGTGAGACGCTCTGCAGGTGGGTGAGGGGCATCCTGCTTCCCTGAGCTGAGACACTTTGAACTTGACATATGATCTGAGCAACTGAGTGCTGGCAGAGGCCCCGTTTGAGGATATGTTTGTGTCCCCACATTGCTGCAGAATCCTCAGTACCACCTCGCTTGTTACGTGGCCCGTAGGGATGGCTTGGCCGCACAGGGATGCTAGAACGCGTCATTGCAGTTTTGCACTATCTGGAGAATTGCCCCTAAAGATACTGAACTTAGGGGAAACGTTTACAGCTTCTGCAGCGCACAGGGTTACAGAAGCTATTTGGCTGACTATAACAGCCCAGAACTAGTTGCATTTGCTTTCCTGGATGTCTTTTAAAGGAATTATTTGACTATTAATTTTTCATAAGCTATTGAGCAGACTTTGGGAGAAAAAAAACTCTAAAGTTTAACTAGAATAGCTATCATCCTGTCTTTCAAAATCCAAAATCCAAAGCAGGTATATGTTTTCAGGAACAATATATGCAAGAGACATTAACAAAAAAAGAATGTTGTTGAATAGTGAAAAACGGCATGTCAGAATGAAGGGAATAATCCATGCACTATATCAGAAAAATAAAACTAAACTATAACATCTTGACTCTTTCCAAGTTTTCCCCAAAAATCATTTCTCTTAGATTCTAGTACCCCAAATTTGCATACCAATGTTGGTTGTTTTCTTTCCCTATGGACTGTGTCATAGGACCTTCAGAATAGCACTATGAGATAGAAAACCATTTCCCATTTAACGCATGGGAAATAAAGACTTGCCCAAGATTAAATGACTTGCCAGGGTCACTTGCGGAATTTTTTTATGGCAGAGCCCAGACTAGAACTTGGGTCATCTGACTGTCCACTGAGCAGCTACCCTGTGCCAGTAGGTATGTATGCGGGGCTGGGGGTAGGGCGCGAACAAGGCCTGTCCAGGAGACAGAAGTAAACAAGTGAACAGAGTAACTGCCACTGTGATAAGTGCTCAGAAGAAAACAAGGACTATGATAGTTGAGAGATCTGAGAAGGGGGAATAGAGAGGACCCCAGGAAAGGACATTTCTCCTACATGGAAGGATATGGAGGGACCAGGCAAGCCAGGATCCAGGGGAAAGTGGTCTAAATATGCGGATAGCAGTGCAAAGGTCCTGAGGCAGGAAAGAGACTGGTGTTCAGCGGTCCGGTGTTGCTTAGAGTGCAGTGAGCAGAATAGCATGAAGTTGGAGAGGAGGGCAGGGGCAGAAACTGGCTGGGCCTGTGGGTGTGGAAAGAATTTCTGATTTTATTCTAAGTGCAATGAAACCCCAGTGGAGGGTTTTAAGTGTAGAGAGTGGGACTAGGGAGGGGCAGTGATCTGATTTATGTGTTTAAAAGATCCTTTTGGCTACATTACAGAGAGTGGATTAGAGGGAAACGAAGCCAGTGTGCAGGTAATTTTACATGCAGGCAAGTGTTGATGCTGGCGTGGATTAGAGGCTCTTACGGAGTGAAAAGGGGCAGCTGGAATATGTTCTGAGTGGGTTTTACTACTGCCAAGAGATTGGAGAGGCAGCCTGCCTTGTGGTTCAAACTCTGAAATCGGGCCATTGTTGAAAATCTTGGCTCCTCACATACATCCTCTGTGACCCAATTTCCTAGCCTGAAAAATGAGGGTGATGATAGTACCAACCTCATAGGTTTATTGAGTGGAGTAAACAAGATCCTGCAAATAGTTCTGGGGCTCAGTACAGACCATAGGAGGGGACAAGTGTCCAGTGACTCGGGCAGCATGAAGACGTATGTTGATTTGGCCAAAACCATCTAGTGGGGGCGCCATGGAGCCAGGCTGGACAGAATGCCACTGTGAAGGGCCTGGGTATGGGGAGCAGAGGCCCCCCCTCTGTCCAGAACCTGGAGGGGGATCAGTTGGATGTACAAACATGTAAGGAATGGGGAAAACATGTTCCCAGCATCCCAAGAATGGGATGTGTGAAATGATGGCTTGGCCTGTTTCCTCATTTAGAGAAGGAGAGATCTGGACTCAATCACCGTTAGCGTCCTTGTCAGTTTTTAAATTTCGCCCCCAGGCTTCTTCAGGAATTGTGGATTAATTAACTAAGTTTTGGTGGAGAAGGGCCAGAAAAATAAATTCTGTTTTTAATTTTTTTTTAATCCTCACCTGAGGATATTTTTCTATTTATCTTCAGATAGAGTGGGAGAAAGGAAGGGAGAGAGAGAGAAACATCGACATGAGAGGGACACATCAACTGGTTGCCTCCCGCACAACCCCAACTGGGGCCGGGCACGAACCACAGCCAAGGTATGTGCCCTGGCCCGGAATCAAACCCTTGACTCATTGGTTCACGGGCCGATGCTCTAACCTCTGAGCCAAACTGGCCAGGGCATAAATTCTGTTTTTAAATGTTTTCTTCCTATAGAAAAGTATGTTGACCTCTGGTGGAAATCATTTACTTTCTAACAACATAAAGACCCACTTGAGAATAGGACTTGTTCACAGTATATTGCGAAATGAAAGAAACATAAGACAGTGCTATATAGTGAGACTTCTTGTTAAAAAGCAAGCAAGAAAAAAAAAGAAAAAAAAAAAGTGTATTGAAAACAGTCTGGAAGGACGCACCGCCCAGAGAATGTCAGCACCCAGTGGTGGGTTACTGAGGGGCTTTATTTTCCTCTTGAGGCTTTTCTGACTTTCTGATTTTTTAATATAATGAAAGTGTTTAATTTTATAAACAGAGAATGGAAATCCTTTTCCTTTTTCTTTTTGACACTATCTCCTCTTACTATTTAAGGACTGTTTGTTCTCAGTTGGGATTGCCTTACTGACCCAGCCTTGCGATTCTTGTATTTTGCCTACTTACCATGTCCCGCTCACAGTCAGATAGTTATTTGCTGTTGCAATCTTGCCTCTAGAACAATGAGAGTGTAAGGTCATCTGAGCAAGACACTTATCGTCCTGCTCCTTTGCAGACTCCTGGGATTGCGCGGGTGGAGGAGACAGGGCTGGGCTGGGCCATCCTCCGGCTGGTGGCTGCACCCCACACTTTCCCTGGGTTCGGCGATGAGCGCGTCGTCAAAGAGGGTCAATGGCTTTATTGAAATCAAGGAGCTACATACAGTAGGACTTTAGCTTATTCAGCTAGGTGAGGGTTTTTTGGTTGGTTGTTTTTCATTTGTTTTGATTTTTTTTTTAGTGAGCTTATCTTTATATTTGTGTACTTACGTGATGATTCTTCTTTGTAAGACTCTGGCAGAAACAGAATCTCGACACTTCCAATCAATAAACCCTCCTAATTCTATTTTTCACACTGACATATAATGATATAAAGTTTAAAAAGTTAAAGGTGCCCCACAAAGAAAATAGTCTCCTCATAGAGATATTTCACCCTGAACGTTGTTACGATAATTGGTATTTCTCAGAGAGCCCAAATTGTGTCACTGGTCACTGCAAAAACAAGTGATTCGGACGTAAGCAGTGACCGGCTCTGAGCCGAGGATAACTGATGGCAGACTTTCCTAGGATGGGCTCGCTTTCTTTTCCCCCATGGCTTCCACAGGCTGGGGTTTACTGCCTCTTTCTTCGAACAGGGACTGCCCAGCCTCTGACTGCAGGACCAGAAGGTGTCATCACCCAGCATCCCTCCAGGCTCCTTCTCCATGTAAATAATCCCTTAAGTGGGGTGGCAGGGCTCAGGACTTCAAACATGGTTTGCTGTTCATTTCTGTTCCAGCTTTAAGACAGTTCAATAAGACACAATAATGAAACATTTTAGTCAAGGACCAAAACCATTGTGGAAATATTTTTTTTAGATTCCAAGAGACAGTATTGGCTAAAGGGTTAAGAGCACATCTCTGGCCCTGGCCGGTTTGGCTCAGCGGTTAGTGTCGGCCTGCGGTCCAGAGAGTCCCGGGTTTGGGTCCCTCTAAGGGCGCGTACCTCAGTTGCAGTTTGTCCCTGGCCCTGGTTGGGGCATGCGGGTGGCAGCCACTCGATGTGTACCTTTCACGTCGATGTTACCCCCTCTCTCTGTCCCTCCCACTCTATCTGAACAAAATATCAAAAGATGTCCTTGGGTGAGGATTAAAAAAAACAAAAAGCGAGCACATCTCTTGTGCAAGTCTCTCTGGGTTCAAGTTCCAACTGAAGCACTTTATAGCCTATAACCTTGGGCAACTTCTTAATCTCCTGTAGGAAGAGTAAAGGTGATCCATCCGTGCCTCACTGACCTGCATGATCTGTACATGCAGAGTACTCAGAACAGTGTCCTCAGGAACAACTCTATTTAATGACTATATCTTAAAAATAATGATAATATTAGATTAATAAAGAGCATTACATGGAGGCATTCAGACATTATTCATTCTAACATATTGAATTTATGTTGAAATTTTTGAGGGGAATAGAAAAAACTAGGTTGAAAAATAAGACAATAAGCCAAAAGTCTGGGCAAGATCTTTAAAACAAATAAAAGTGCCCTGGCCAGTTTTGCTCAGCAGTTAGAGCGTTGGCCTGAGGTCTAGAGGGACCCGGGTTCGGTTCCCGCTAAGGGTGCGTGCCTCGGTTGCAGTTTGTCCCTGGCCCTGATTGGGTCGTGTGGGTGGCGACCACTCGATGTGTCCCTTTCACGTCGATGTTTCTCTCTCTCTCTCTCCCTCCCACTTTATCTGAACAAAATATCAAAAAATGTTCTCAGGTGAGGATAAAAACAAAACAAAACAAAGTGCTTACCACTGAGGAATAGTAGTGTCTCAGCTTCAGAGTGAAATGATGGGGATGAGGATGAGGATGAGGATGAGGATGGGAGAAACCACAGCCTTCGCCAGGCCGTCGTGATCTGGACCATGCTAAAGCACTTAGCATGCGTCGCCTCGTTCAGCCTCAAAATTCCTTAAGTAGCTACTATTGTTAACGTCCTGCTACAATGAGGATACAGAGGTGTGGAGAGGTTGAGGGTCTTGTCAAGGGTCCAGGTGCTTGATGGGCCATTTCTGAGCTGGGCAGGGGTCTCCCCAGAGCTGAAGCCCCCAAGGTTTCAGGATCCCATATGGGCTTCTTCTTAGCCCTCCACGGCTTTCTCCTTCCTTAAAAATTTCACTTTGGTCAGAAAAGTAAAAATCAGTTATTTCTTTAACATTATCTGCTTAAAATTATCTGTGGACTATTTTCATTAAAACACACACGCACACGCACGCACACAATCAGCACACCCTCCAAGATCTAGAGTCTGGCAGTCTGGGTACAGGAAAGAAAAGGCCTGTTCACGTGCCAAGCACCTTTGTGGGGTGACCCTTGTCACAGACAGGGTCTCCTGAGCCCTCACGGCAGCTGTGGGGAGGGGTTCTAATCCCTGTTTTGAGGCAGAAAGCCGGGCTTCAGAGGTTGATCAGTCTTATAGCACTAAGTGTATCTCCAGGGCTTCAAGCCGGGTCTGTGGCATCCTGCAGCCCACACAGGGACTTTCCACCCTCCCAAGACCCCCCACCTGGAGTAGCTACTGGAAAGAATTGAAGGGGTGCAGGGAGGCAGCAAGGGAGGAAGGGGACTGGAGGGGGCTGAGGCCACCTAATCTGCAAACATGACTGGCGGGTCCCTCATTCTGGGTGCCCAGGCTAAACCTTATTCAGTCCTTCTTTTCCAGTCTCCCTCCTCCCACTCATGACTTCCCACCCCCTCCTGGGAAAGGATGCGTGCCCTTCGATGCCATGCCTGGGTTTTGAAATTGCTGACTTAAGGCGAGTTCATTGAGGAGATGCTAATAGCTCCGGCCCTTTGGCCCTGGATGCAATTACAGCCACTTAGCTGGGTGTACCTTTGGGTGCCTGCTGTTTCCTTTAAGGCTGTAAACAACACCTGGAAGGCCTGGGGGAATGATGATTTGGGGAAAAGGATGTTCATTCAACATCCTGTTGGGTTTGTATTGAATGATCCAAATAGACCCCCTTTTAACTGGGCTCTAGATCAGACCTCACTCTCGCTTCCCTCCCCATTCCGCCGTAGTCAGTAGGAACCTGCACACCGGTAGGGATAAAGTCGATGGCAGGTCAGGCTTTCTTCTCTGCCTAGGCAGGTGGGAGGGGAAATACCCTTCTCCTGGGGGTGCAGAACTATTTGTAATGTAGTTATAAGACATTCTGGGCGGCAGAACCCCTGCCTACTTCTTGCTCAGGAGCCTTTAAGAGTGTTTGCAGAAGGGGGCTTTGCTGCGCTGGGCTCCTGGGAACCGTGGCCAGCACAGCTCTCAGCCTTCGACTCGAGCTCTTTCTCCTCCCTCCAGACCTGGCGCCTGGGGCTTTTCGCAGGCCTGGGCGGCAGGTGCAGGAAGGGAGGCAGGGCCACGTAGGCAGCAGCCTGCCCCCAGCCCACCTCCAGCCCTGCAGCTTCTGGCCCTTGACACTGTGCTGCTTCTGGGTGCTCCCCAAGCAGACCACAGACCCAGCTGGGAGGGGCCCTGGGTGTCCAGGGTGGAGCCCTGACTGGGAGCCCAGGTCTCTGAGCTGCTGCAGGCTCCAGAGCCCAGGTGACCCGCTGACTTCTCACCGCAGGGAAGAGGCCACAGCCCCTTCCAGGTTGACAGCAGCTCAGCTTGCACCCTCCCGGCTTCTGACTGCGAGGAAGGAAGGCGTCAGTCAGGGAATTTCTGTGAGAGGGTTTTACTGTGACTTGGGCCGGGGTTGTGTTTTAGGGCTGATTCTTTCCCCTAATGTCAAAGACTGACCCACAGACAGACAGTGTCTCCCCCGTAAAGACACCTGGATGGAAGGATCAAAAGCCAGGCGCCTGGGCTGTCTGATTCCCCTCCCTCTTCCTTCAGCACGAACTCTTATCCCTCGCTGCTGAAGCTCAGATGGGGGACCCAGAGCCCCTTCCCGTGGGACTCCTCACAGTGTGTCTGCCACCTCTCCCCTCTGGGTGCCCTGACCGTCCCTCTCTGGGCAGGCAGCCATGGCCCCCTGGCGCACTCAGGCTCTCCAGGCGGCGGGTTGGAGTCAGCAGTGTGTGCTTGCCGGCTGCTGTGGCTCAGTGGTTGAGCGTCGACCCCTGCACCAAGAGGTCATCGGTTCGGTTCTGGGTCAGGCACATGCCCGAGTTGTGGGTCGGATCCCTAGTGGGGGGCATGCAGGAGGTGGCCAACCGATGTTCTCTCTCATCGATGTTTCTATCTCTCTCTCTCCCTCTCCCTTCCTCTCTCTCTAAAATCAAAGAAAAAAAAAAAGTGTGTGCTCAGGTGTTCTGCTCTCTGAAAGGTGCGGGGGAAGCATGGGTGCAGAGGAGGCCCCAGGAGAGGGTGACAGGACAGGGGGCCTTTTTACATAGTATGAAGCTGATAAGTGGTGCATCATAAGTGACATGACAGCTCTGGAAGACTTCGCAAACCTCTTTAGAAATGTGAGGTCTTTTCATTTTATCACTGTGGTGGGGGGCTGTTAACTAATGCTAATTAGACAGTCCATGGACCAATAAAGTAGGAAAAGAAAAAGCAAAAGTTTACTTTGGGTAAAATTCATTCTAATTTTAATTCATTTCTGTAAGATGTTTCCTATTTATGCCCAATTACCGTGAATGAGGACAATGACAAGACAAGATTGACTGATTTGGGCTTGATTAATCTTCTAAGCTTATTTGATCACAACACCCAATTCTGAACGTGTGCTCAGGCTTCTGGGTTGTAGTTTGTGTTGCCTTGTTCACTGGGAGTCAGTCTGCTCACACTTTCCAGCCACGGGCAGGACCGGGTCTTGAGCCTGGGCGGATGGAGCCCTCCTCAGTTTGCTTTGGAGGAGCAGGAAGCTGAGACCTGGCAAGGGACTCAGAGCCATGCGCCTGACTGGGGTTCCCTTGACCTGGGTCCTGACTCAGCAAAGATGCTGCTTATTTTTATTTCACGCTATAGCGTGGAAACTGTTCCCCATGGACACATGCAGACTTGTCTTTTCACACTGTAATTGATCGATCCCCATCAAAGGATGTTTTAGTGTTTTTCAGTCTTCAGCCTAAACAAATAACACTGCCCCAAACCTTCTTGTGCACACACCTTCCTTGCACACGTGAGCTCTTCTGGGTGGGTACATTTAAACTGAGAGATACTGCCTAAATGCCCCTTAGGTAGTTTTTACCCCCCACCCTCAATGAGAGTCATGTTCTTTTTACCCTAAGGGCTAAATTGTTAAACCCTGTGAGTAAGTGGAAGCTAATAAGATAAAAAATTTAAAAAATGTACAAGATTACCAAATTTGTATAATCTGTACAAAAATTGTATAGTCTCTAGTGCCTACTGTAGCTCCTTTGGGTGTCTGCCCACTGCTTTTATTTCTGAAGGCAGACTTGGTCTGTGCAGGCTGCTGTAACAAAACGCCCTAGACAAGGTGGCCTGTAAACAACAGCAGTTTATTTCTCACAGTTCTGGAGTCTGAAAGCCCAACGTCAGCATGATGGGGCTCCGGGAAGGCCCTCTACCAGGTGCGACCGCTGACTTCTGGCCATGTCCTCGCATGGCAGAAGCGACAAGGGCTCTCTGGGGGTCTCTCCTTATGATGGCACTAATCCCATTCATGAAGGCTCCATCTTCGTGACCTAATCACCTTTATGACCCAAAGGCCCCACCTCCAGATACCATCACAGTTATGGGTTAGGTTTCAACATATGAATTTTGGAGGGGACACATTTAGTCTGTAGCGGGGGATTCACGGGTTTCCCCATCTGACTTCAGACATAACATCTAAGCAGGATCTGAAGTCAGAATGAAGATGGATATTCCTTTTAGTCTCAGGTGGGCCGTTTGCATCTCCAAAGATCTCTTCGTGACATCCATTTCCTTAGACCTCTGCCCAAACCAGAGTCCTCCCTCCCCAAACATGCTGAGCAGAAATGCAGACAGTGTGAAATGACATAGTACCTATATTTTAGTAGTTTACATTATTTTCCATTCTATTTGGAAAACAACACCTTTCAAAATTAGATATAGTTAACACAGAAAACCACAGAATACCACCATTCTGCGTAGTTCCATTTCTTCACTTCTGGATTCTCTCATGGCAAGAAACTCGTTTCATTCACCTTTGGGCCCAGCAGCTGCCTGGCATGTGATAGGCACCCTGTGGACTTGGGTTGAAGTGAACTAATTTTCTCTTAATGTTTCACCTAAATTATTCCTTTTGCCTCTTACAGAATGAAGATACTCAGATGTTGTATTAAATACCCCCTACAGCAGAAAGTTTTCATCCTGTTTCTAACCCTGTGGCTGCTCTCCTTGTTGAAGCTTCTAAATGTAGGACGACTCCTCTTCCCTAAGAGAGGCATTTACCTGGTTGAGTACTCCCTGAGTACCTCTCCCTTTGTAAGGAACAGATACACCCATGTTAGCGATGAAGTCAGGTATACAGTTAACTGTTCGGGGATCTATGAACAGGAGCCTTTGGAAATAGGCAAGACTCTGGAAATAAGAAGAAGAGACATCATCGACTTGGAGGATGACGATGTTGTGGCAATGACCAGCAACTGTGACGTGTATCAGACCTTAAGAAGATACCATCAAAAGCTCGTTTCAGGGGAGGAGAAACGCTTCCCAATAGCCTTTTCTTTGGTTGTTCACAAAGATGCAATTATGGTTGAAAGGCTAATCCATGCTATATACAACCAACACAATATTTACTGCATCCATTATGACCATAAGTCACCTGACACCTTCAAAGTCGCCATGAACAATTTAGCTAAGTGCTTCTCCAATATTTTCATTGCTTCCAAACTGGAGACAGTGCAGTATGCCCACATTTCCAGACTCCAAGCTGACTTGAATTGCTTGTCAGACCTTCTCAAGTCTTCAGTTCAATGGAAATATGTTATCAACCTGTGTGGGCAAGACTTTCCTTTGAAGTCAAACTTTGAATTGGTGTCAGAGCTGAAGAAACTCAATGGAGCAAATATGTTAGAGACGGTGAAACCCCCTCACAGTAAAATGGAAAGATTCACTTATCACCATGAACTCAGACAGGTGCCTTATGAATATGTGAAGCTACCAGTGAGGACAAACATCTCCAAAGAAGCCCCCCCTCACAACATTGAGATATTTGTTGGCAGTGCTTATTTTGTTTTAAGTCGAGCATTTGTTAAATATGTTTTCAACAACTCCCTTGTAAAAGACTTTTTTGCCTGGTGTAAGGACACATACTCACCTGATGAGCATTTCTGGGCTACCTTAATTCGGGTACCAGGAATCCCTGGGGAGATTTCTCGATCAGCCCAGGATGTGTCTGATCTGCAGAGTAAGACCCGCCTTGTCAAATGGAATTACCACGAAGGCCTTTACTATCCCAGCTGCACTGGCTCTCACCGCCGAAGTGTGTGCATCTATGGAGCAGCAGAATTAAGGTGGCTTATCAAAGATGGACATTGGTTTGCGAATAAATTTGATTCTAAGGTGGACCCTGTCTTAATTAAATGCTTGGCAAAAAAGCTTGAAGAACAACAGAGAGAGTGGATCACTTTGTCTTCAGAAAAGTTGTTCATGGATAAAAATCCCACAATCTCATGATAAAATCACGATGGCAACAAAGAGTCTGATAAATGGAGTTACTACAGAATTGTATACTATACCAAATCCAGTACCATCTGAGCTTACCTCCTCATAGTTTGAAAGGTAGCTAATGTGCTTTGCTCAAGGCAGAGTGACTTACCTTTGGTGACAATTAGCCTGCAGTTGGTTGAGCACTGTTTGTTTCTGCCTGTAATTTCACTGAACTTAATCAGAGATCTTAAGCAGTCATCAGATATTTATTGAGCTCCTACTGTACATTGGGCATTTTTTTTAGAAATGTGCAGCAATTAAATCCAAGTTTTAGTGAGTTATACAATGCCCTCAAGGGACTGTGTCTTACCCTTGTCATCCAGCAACCTTACTATCTTAAGTTCCCCACATAACAACCAGGATCCTACTGAAGAAGTTTGGGAGTGTGTGGTGATCACCCATATAAACCACCCATTTCAGAATAGCATTTAAGTACAGTGATCAATACTCCACTTGTCTCTTAATTCAACTCACTCAGCTCTTTCTAACCATTAGAATATTAGAGGGAGAGACTTCACTACCTCAGAAGAGCTCAAAGAATCGTCCGATTTCCTGCTTGGAAAGCATGCTTTACCATTTGGCACCTCACTCCCCTGTGGGTGTGGCGTTCGTAGTGTCTGAATGTTAGGGTGGTGGTTGGGGTCAGTAGGAAGATTGAGACACGTGGTGCCTGAAAGGAACAGAGGGCTTTATATGACTTTGGCATCATGTTACACAGTGGTGTCAGGATGACCTCCTTTTTAATTCAGCTGTTTCTTCAAAGCACGTTTACTGATTAAAAATGAGAACTGATTAATGCTCAAAGTGTTATATTCCAGAACAGTGAACCTAAGTCTTCCAGCTCATAGACTATCGTTACACGTAAGTTTCTTTACAATGGAATTAGTATACTTTTGTTTTATGGAACCAAACTGAGAGTCACTGACTTTTCTTGGAAAGGCTATATGAAATATGACAGTTTTCTAAATTAATTATTATGGTCATTTAAAAATTTTTCTTCTCCAACAACTGCCCAAGTAGAACCCAAATTTAAAATTATGAAAGTTCACTGCTGTCTTCTTAGCTTAGATCTGGAGATAAAAGGCTAATTTTCCTAAGATGTAGCAAGAATATTCAGTAAGGATATTTTGTAAAACCTACACCTTTAGACAACGACCAGATGAGTCAAATATACATCCATTGTCATGTAACCGGGGTGCTGGAGGGGAAATGGGCAGGAGCAGGGTTCTGAAAACGGACTATAACCTTTTTACATCTCTTGGGAAATCATGGAACTTGTAAAAATTTCCTGGTGATCTTATGTTTCAATGTCAGCTTCAGAAACTGTATCAAGATGTAGTGATCAAGGCTGGTGTGAGACTGGAAGACTGAAGTATTTGAGTACTTTTTAAATGTCTGTGTTCTGAATGCCTGTGCCTTGAACTTCGCTTGTTTTCGAGTTGGATATGAACTGCCAGGTGGCACCATTTCTTCTCTTGAACTCATTTTTCTTCCTTCCTTTTTCCTACCCCCTGCACTTACTTGACTCTTCAGAAAACGACGATTACCAAGTCCCTGTTCTTAAAACTAAGTAACTGTTGGGTAGAGCTGAGTTCTGCAGAACATTCTGACTGGGTCGTTAGTGTGTGTGACGGTGACAGGCTGTCACTTGGTCTCGATGAGCCGGCTTTCCTGGTTTTTGAAGTGAGTACTTGGTTGCCTATCTTGGCTTCTTCACAAGTGTGTGTGTGTGCGTGTGTGTGTACTAATTGAAATAGTATATGAAGTGTTTTGGTTTTTTAATTGTTGACACTATTACAGATGTCCCTCATTTTGCCCACCTTTGCCCACCTCCACCCAGCTCTCCCCCTCCCCCGCCGGCGCCTCTGGCCATCACCACACTGTTGTTTGTGTCCATGGGCTATGCATATGTGTTCTCTGGCTCAGCCCTTCACCTCCTTTCACCCAGCCCCTCCCCTCTGATCACTTTCAGTCTGTTCCATGTCTCCAGGCCAGTTTATTTGTCAGTTTATTTTGTTCGTTAGATCCCACATATAGGTGATACCATGTAGTATTTGTCTTTCTCTGCCTGGCGAATTTCACTTCGCCTAATAATATCCAGGTCCACCCATGCTGTTGCAAAGGGTAAGAGTTCCTTCTTTTTCTCAAACAGCTGCGTAGTATTCCACTGTGTGTATGTACCACAGCTTTTTTATCCACTCACCTACTGATGGGCACTTGGGCTGTTTCTAGATCTCGGCGATTGTAAATAACACTGCTATGAAGTGTTTTAAATATAGGGACAAACTATTAAAATGCCAGAGAACAGTCTTACAATAAGGCTAACATGGATCCAACATCCTTGTAAGACTTAACCATTTACCTTTTCTGAAAAGACCTTTGACATATAAAAAGAAGCCGCAGTTGCAGAGGCAACCTCTGTAACCAAATCCAGGTGTGAAGAAACTCCAGTCACCACGTGCGGGGTTCTTTCTAAGCCAACAGGGTCGGCAAGTTGGTCCGTGGCTTAGACTGGGAAGAGGGGTTGAAGTACTTTTTCTGTCATCCAGGCTTAAATACACAAGGTCTTGATGAAATCTTTGTTTTTATGCCTCTGTCATCAGAATAAATGCAAATACTGAAAAATAAATGTTGACCTCCTGGTCCAGGGTCTTGCCTGTGATGAGGAATAATTCTGTTTCTTGTTAACTGGGAAATTTGCCAATCATTGATCAGTCTAATTCTGTGGTCAGATGACACATGGAACCATGAAGAGGTGGCAGTTCCTTCCTTTCACAGACACATTTCTCGGGGTTCAGTAGCTAACCTTGCAGGGAGCTGGTCAGGCATGCTTTTGCCTCGGGGATCCTGCAGAATCCTGGCATGCCTTCCACCCTGGTCCTTCCCTACCTCGTCCTCTGGTCTAGAGAATGGTCTGCAGTCTGTGTTTTACAATTATGCTTTGTATAGTATTTACTGAATCTGGACTCTAAGTTATTTGGTGATGAGAACAGGACCTTGGAGTTTGTAAATTCTGTCAGATAATATTACTAATGAAAGAGATACCAAAATACATATATTATATGAACAAACTACTGTAATATTTTAATAAAGACCCATGTTGCTGCTATTCTTAATATTTTGGTTCTTTTAAGTGAAGTGTTTATATAAATGATTTAATTTGTACAGTTAAATCTGAAGATTTCTCTTGCCTTCCAGAATGTGACTATTTTTTATATATTTGATGAAATGACGATCTTCTTTGGGAATGTAAGGTGAATGTACCCTATGTGTGTTACCGCGGTTTGTGTTGATGATGATGGAATGAGAGTTTTGATTTTTTTAAAACATTTTTATAATTGGTCACTAAGTCTCCTACTGTATGTGTGTGTTACCATTTTAAAAAGATGTATTTCCCATTATATGAGTTTTAAATAGATCGGTATTGCATTTTGTATTTGCTGCTACCAGATGTTCATTCTCCAGTATTATAAAATAAAATGTGCTCCAAACACCAAACCCCTGGAATTTATGATGTTTCCGCTCTCTGGTTGTGGTGGGTCCTCACAAAGACTCTTTTCAGTTTATAACACTTGCCCAGTGTGTGAAGAGCACGGTCAGTTTCACGTCAGAGTAGAAGACATTCGGCGTGTGCACTGTGTACAGAACACAGGCACACACACAGGAATTGTTTAATTTGCCAGGGTCTCAAAGGATCTTCCAGGATTTCCTTGTCTTCGTCCTCCTTCAGGTAGGTTTCTCCTCTAAGATTAATGATCTAGGTAAGTATTCTTGTTTGCTTGATTACGTTATGGAAGTTAGTTCTTGATAGGGCAGGCTGAACCCTCTAGCTCACACCCCTCAATCCCTGGAAAATCCGGACTGTGTCTGTGCATCGACTCCTGCCGGGTCGTGAGCCTGTGAGGCTGGCCTCACCGTGCCAGGCCTGGTTGGTGGGTAATTCCTGACGAGCTCCCCTCTGTCCTGGATAATAGGACCTTTTCTGGCTCTGCTAAGCTGAGGAGTATTTGGCATCACTGATCCCCATGCCCCAACCCTCGCTCTGAAAATCCCCTGATTTGTTTTCTTTTCTCACCTCTTCTGAAGCCACGACAGTGCCAGCCTCCCTCACTGGCAGGGAGTATGCATGTCACACTCATAAGTTATAGTCCATCGCGACAAGCAAGCCCACTCACTGTAGGAACCTCCAACGTTAAGAAATAAACACCTACTCTTAACTAAGGTTAGTGCTTGCTCTTGCCAAGCTGGACAGCCATACAAATCACAGTAATCTCATGGAAGAATTTGTACTTTTTTCTTATAGTGGTGGTGGGGGGGGGGGTGAGTCTGTACAGCATCATATTAAAACCCATCAGCTTGATGCCTAGGTAAGCAGTTTCATATTTTTATATTTCCTTTGGTGTCTACAAAGCTACATCTAAACTAAGACTACTGGCTTCTAGTTTCATGAAACCAATTATGAAGAAACCCTGCAAGAGAGAGTAGATGACTGCAAATTTATACCTGTTACTGGAAAAGATTCCCATGATGAGGCATAGCAAGCAGCTTGAGCTCCGCGTCAGAGGCAGGTGGTCAGTGGGTCACCTTCTGCGGTGTGTGAACACCACGGGAAGGTACTCACCTGACCTAGGTGCGGTCCTCGCGTGGAGCTGCACCGTGCCTCCCCCCTGGGAGCACTTTGGACGGGATCATGCAGAGGACAAATAGAATCTGGGGAAAAAATCAGGGTCAGCGATCTGGGCAAGTTTGTTTTACTTTTTTTTGTTGTTGCTATTATTTCTCATAGAACAATAAAGGAAATTTAAACAGAAACACTTTGTGTTCATAATTCTAATGTCCTGACAAAAAACATTATAGTTCTCTGAATGCTGTTCTAATAGTATCCACACCCGTAACCATTTCCTTGTCTCTCTTCCCACCGCCTGTGTATTTGCTACGACTTTCCCGAGTTGCTACATGACCTTTATGGCTATGTGCTGGTCATAATTCACCCACTCTTTCCTTTATTATAGAGCATTTGAATTTGAAGCTGCTTAACTTTTTTTTTTTTTGCTCTCGTAAGTAACTATGCGTGAACAGCTTTATACATAAAGCTTCTCACCCTGGCTGATTTGGCTCAGCAGTTAGAGCATCTGTTTGAGGACCAAAGAGTCGTGGGTTCAATTCCAGTCAAGGGCACGTGCCTCCATTGTGGTTCATCTCCAGCCCTGGTCAGGGTCATGCGGGAGGCAGCCAGTTGATGTGTCTCTCTCACGTCAATGTTTCTCACGTCAATGTTTCTCACGTCAATGTTTCTCTCTCTCTCTCTCCCCCCCCCTTCCCACTCTATCTGAAGATATTTGAAACAATATCTTCAGGTGAGGATTATTTTTAAAAAAGAGCTACATAAAGCTTCTCCTTTCCTTGAATCAATTCCTTATGGTGCATTTTCAAGGGAGTGATTACAGTCCTGAAGAGAATGGATTTTTAAACTTTATTATTGTTTTTTACTGGTTGCTTTTTATATATGTTACAAATCACCCACTCAAAGAATTATATAGGACACATGTTGGTGTAAAACAACCACAGCCTCAACCTCTGTGAAATAAATTGTATTTATTTATTCTAAGAAATGGCTGTTCCGATCCTCAAAGTGAGCAAAGACCTTTGCCTAAAGCAGGGATGTAGCCATTCCCCTAACATATCTAAGAATGTGTTATAATGTGTGGCTAGTAAAGAGTTCGTTCAGAATAATACTCTCAAAGGTGTAGCCTTGATCACTGACTCCATTCCAGGAAGGATCTAAAGGCTGCTAGTTCCTTCTAGTATCCATTCTCCCCATCCATTCTCCCCGGCTTCTGTGGTTTTATTCTGAACAACAATATGACCAGCTATTAATTCCCAGCCCTCCTTTCAACTAGGG